TTGTTAGAAATTTCACACTTTTTCTTCACACATCAATATTGGATGAAAGAGTTGCGCTTTTTACGCTTGAAACCCGGCAGAAAGTTTGTACTACACTTAATATAGTTTTAATTGGCGGGTGAAACATTCATATATGTCTACTGCAATTATTTAGTCGTTTATTGAATAAATTAATAACAAATGGGGAAACGCAGTGGTCAAATGTTGCGAGGCGAGTGAGTGAAATTACTGAGATTTTAGCTGCAAATTGTAGATAAATAACGCATTGTAATGGAGATCATAAATATTTCGAAATATCCACACAGAATACCAAGTTTTAAAACGGGCTGATAAAAGACTTGGGTAGATATTTAGACAGAAGTTTGAAAAGCTGTAGAAATTGATTTTTTTTTGATTTCGTATTTAATTCCAAAGGGGAGATTATTAGGTTTTCTGACTAAATCTCGAATCCAAAAAAAAAATATATAAATTATTACTATAGGTAGATTGATACAAAATGCCGACTTTACAAAAAAAAAAATCGATTTTGTTTTAAAATTTACACTACAGGGTGACTGAAAAATCGAATTTAGTTTAAAAAAATGTATCCTTTCGATCATTACCTTACAAATATATTCAAGGTTGTATGAAAAATTTCACCCACCCTGAAAACAGTATTTCAAAAATAACTTAGTTGAATAACTCTTTCCGGTTGACTAATGGGTGTTGTATTTTAGAAATGTAGTTTTTAATGAGGCGATACTATTTTTGGAGCTGGCCTTTTTGATACCTGATTTATATTCAGTGCGGTTTGCCATTTCAATTTGAATAGAATTACTCCCAATGAACAACGTTTGCAAATTGTGCTGCGTTCAATATAAGGTCGACCTAATTGTCCAGCAAAGTCGATAATTCGGGCAACCATGGATCGGTTTCACACCACGTTTACTTCAGTGTATTATACGCATCCTGAGAGATGCAGTGCAGTGAAAAATGATTTCTGAAAAACACGATTGCTTAAACGATACAAAATGGATAGTATGTGACTCTTCTTATATCTGAAGCTCACCAAAAAAAGCTGAGAAGACAGGCTCTGTCAGAAGTACTTCTTCATTTATATGACTGTGTTTTCTGCCACTACTTAATCTATGTTAGCTCCTTAAATGATTTGAAAGTTCGTAGGTATAACATTACAGCATATCGTTTACAGTCTTCTGTGTTCACCAGGCTTTGATCGATCTGAGCACTCCATATGTGTTTCTTAGCTCATCAAATAGCTTTCGATAGCATTTTTGAGACGGGCTTTAATATGTATGTGAAGAGTTTTGTGTCTCGTTGAGTAGTTTTTCGTAGCTATGTTAGCTTCATTTTGAAAAGAGGTAATGTGATTCTATGTAGGTCAATTTTCAGCTAAGTAACAAAGTTAATAGTAGCACATCTAGCTACTAAATTTTAGTGTTGCAACGTACCAAATTATATTTACTTAGACATAAAAGCTCTGAAAACTGTCTACCTTTCATAATATTTCTCTCAACCACCACCGGCATTTGACGCAAAACAACTCAATAATGCCAAAACGTCAGCCGCAAAACCGATGAACTCATGTCAGCGCCGGGTAGCATCAATCGGTTAATATTGCAAGCGGCCACTCTAGAACTACAGTTCAATTGCTGACTACGGTCGGCAACATGACAGCAGCGAAAGCAGCAACATTAGCCGTGCTTGTAGCCACCGCATACATAGAAAATACTCGTACATTGGATTTAGTACAGAAGCCGAGCAGTTCATTGCTCATATGCTGCAATCAGGAGCCTCTCGAGTCTCATATGTCTTATGTGTGCTTGTGTGTTGTTGTTGGCTGCCATTGAGGGACGATGACAACGCATATTGCCGCTGTCATGACATGACATAGCATTGCATAGTAGCTGCAGTCGCAGTGGAAGCCGGCTCAGTAGCGGCCGTAGCAAGAGCAATGACAATCCATCAATTCAAACCGCCAGCGAGTTGCTGACAGAGAGGCGGTGGCCAAAAGTCCATATATATTTATATACATATTTACGTATACTTAAGTATATATTGCATTTGGGTCCAAAAGCAGCACGAGTGTGCGCGCGCACGCTCCCAACTCTGGAAAAAGTCAACGCCAAAAAGTCAAACTGTCCATTACTCATTTTAGCTGTCAACTTGGGGAGCGACGCCAAACAAGACAATGAAAGCAACAAGAGAAAAACAATACAAGTAGGTAGGTAATACCAATGGGAGGAATAATAAAAGCAGCAACAACAACAGCACACACATATCATGACAATATTGCTGTAAAGTTTTTTTCTTTTTGTTGTTGTAATTTTTCCTTGTTGTTGGTGTTGCTTCATATTTTCATTATTGTTGCTTTTATTGTTGTATATTTTTTTATTGTTGTTGTAATTTTTTCCTGTTGTTGTATATTTCCTTTTTGTTGTAGTTGTTATAATTTTGTTGTTGTTGTAAATTTGTATTGTTGTTCTAATGTTTTCATTGTTGTTGTAGTACAAATTTCTTATTACTGCTAGCGTTTGTTATTGTTGTTGTAGCCGATGGCTATTCATTTGTTGCCACAAGCCATTGCTAATGTATGTACTTGCCATCGCTACTTGTGGAAGCTAAGTAAGCAAGCGGCCGGACGGTAGTCCGCCAGGTATTGCTGTTTAGCCGGTAGCCGCCATGACTTTTGCCCAAAAGACATTTTTCATAGAAAACATTACTTATTTGCTTTGGTTGGGTTTTCTGTAAACATTGTCAAAAGCCGCCAATGCCATTTGCCGAGTGTCATTGCTGGCCGCCGAAGGAATTCACTTGATTTGCGAGTGCACTTGGCGCACCTTTGACCATCGCGGCTGTGGCTTTCAAGCAGCTGCCTCTAGCCTCTTAAGTTGTACGCGTAATAGTTTTCGTTAAGTTCTTTCTGCATATTCATTTGTTTGCCGTGTGCTATATATTTTATGAGGCTCACATAATTTAGGTTGACAATTTGTGCGCATAAATCTTGTATGTTGAAATTTTCGGCATTCACTACAAAGTAACATACACTCAAATACTAGATTGGTAGACTGTCTAAGAGCATTTCAATATCAAAGATAAAAGGCCCTTTCATCGATCTCATTTATCAATACGTTCGCTCAGCACAAAAAAAAAGAGGATGCTTGAATATATGCTCAACTGTAGGACATGCTGAAGCTGGAACCGTATCTAAACTCCGAGGTCTTAAATCTAATTGGGGGTAATGGTGTGATTATAACTATATTTGGACCACCTAACATAAGTCCAGTTTGTTGAAAATTAGATACTCAATTTTCGAAACTTTTTTGAATCTATTTCTCACAGCACTAAAGTGAGACGAATCGTAGACTCAGATTCCTTTCAAACTACTTTCATTGATCTTTTAACATTTTTTAATATTCTGGTCACACGAACCACTGTGAGCAATACTTTTTGCAAAACGGAAGCCCAAATTTATTCTTTTTCTATCTATATTGGGTATGCAATTTTTTCAAGTCTTTCAGATAGCAACATAGTTTGTATGTTATTAACAAATATCGAAGATGCTCATCTGTCCGGATAAACTTTTTACTTATCAGAGATAAGAGATCTTCATAAAAATTTTCGATATCACTTCTGCATTAATATATTTTTAACAGGTAGATTTAAAACTAAGTATCCTAAAATGCTCCTAATAGGCCAGAAATCTGTGGCAGAGACTATAAAACTACATCAAGCGTCGTTTCCGTTCGTTGTCGGTTGTAAGTTCTAGCTAAAATATTAATATACAAAATAAGGACTTCGGCTTTATAGAACTCTCATAAATGAGTAAAACCCCATATTGTGCGGGAAAACTGTTTAAGGAAAATTATTAATAGAGTTTGGAAGATATTATTACTGAATGATGGTCTCATGTGATCAAAGCTAACATCAAATATTTTACTTTTTTTTGCCAATATTGAGGCTTTATATTGTACATACTAGCACAGGGTTTGCGCCGTTTAAAAGTTAAAACAATAAAAATCAATTTTATATCAAATATATATATTTATTTATTTACGCAACTAAAATTTATTGCTTTAATTTTTTTTTAAATTTTTTATCAATTATTTCTCTAACTGCCGTTTGCTTATAAGAAAATAAATAAAATTAATATTAAATATTTATAAGTTATTTATGCAAATAAATTTATTTACTTAATTCAATAGTCAAAAATATTCAATATAAAAAACTCACTGGAGTCTCAGTAAAAAAATAACAGTATTATTGTAAATTAAATATAGAATAAAATTATCGTGTTTTTTAAATTAAATTACGCTAGAAACAATGTTGCATAAATTAAGCTAGTTGCTTAAATTAAGTAATATATAAGTATATTATGTATATATACTTGAGAATACAAAACAAAATTAGCTAAAATATTTTTTACATACTTTCTATAACTATTAATACTTATTTATAAAATATTCTGTTATTTTTATAAATCAAAATTTTACTCACACTTTTAAATGGAATATAATACACTATATAAGATTTAGAAGTGACTGTATTTATTGTAATTAACAAGCAATTTAAAATAAGCACAATTTTGTACAGAAAATCTGAAAAATCTTTTTCTTTATTAACGCTCTGTAAGGGCAATACGGTTTGGCAGACCTTTGTGTACGCTTTATTTTTGATATATTCTCTGATGTGAAAGATAGTTAAATATTAAACTATTAATTTTAGATTATTTTCTATTAATTTTTGTACATAAGTTGGCACCAAATTTTTCATATCTATTTCACTAGTTTTGTTCTTTTTCCTATGGCACAAGGGAATTCTCAGGTCTGACTTGGCCATTTGAATATATACAATGTTGAGTTGCAGTAAATTATTGTATAGTAAAAATATTTATACATAATATACAAAAAAAAAAAAAAAATTAAAATAAAAATAATATTTAATATTTTAAAAAATTTATTGAATAATTTTTTGAATATAATTTTGAAAATAAAAACAAAACTGAAAAAAAATTCTAAAATGAAAAATAATTTTTAAAAAATAGAAAAATAGAGATTTATTTCGAAATATGCTATTTAAATTAATTATATATACATATCAAACTGCTGTCAAAGCTCGATAAATGAATAAAAAGTAATTTACAATTTGAAAAATAGTAGTTTTTAATATTTTCCGCATGACTTGAGATAAGTTATTTACATTTCGCAAAAACACAATAACCGTTTGAGAAGTTCAAACATTTACTGCCTAAAACGAACGAAATATTGAAAACAAATAGTATACCGCCTGAAAGTATGCCTAGTCGAGAAGAAAGCTCAGTAACTAGTGCAGCTAAGACACAAGCTTGAATGTTTATAGCTTTAACGAGCTTTTACTATTTTCTAAATACTTCATTAAGAAAAAACAAGAAAAATAAACGGATTGCAACAACTTGTGCTTCGTACAAGTGATCTAACCAGTTAGCGTCTGTGAACGTACCGATGTCAAGTCCAGCGGAGTTTGCTTATGTATCACAGCATGCGTCAGCGCTGCATGCGCCGCCATACTCAACGCAGTAGGTGACGCGGCAGAAGGCGGTGGTGTTGTAGACGTGCGGGAGTTTCCTTCCACATGCGCCAGTTGACGTTCATAGCTAGACCGCGCTGCCGCCAATCGTCGTTCGATTTCGCGTCCTTTCAATGACAAGTCTATGGGTTCGTCTTGTGCATCGCTGGCAGACGTACAATCCACTACTGTCACAGACGCTGCTGCTGCCGCGGCAGCAGTTGCCGCTTCGCTTAGGCGTTTGATTTCTTCCTTCAAAGCAGCGGGCATGAGGTGAGCAGGTGGACTGCCGGCAATATTGGTGGCGGAAAGTGGTGTGCCTGGTGGTGCAGCCAGCGGTGATATGTGCGGCGGTAGCGCGAAATGCACGAAAGGACTGCGTAGTGGTTCCGAGTGTGAGCGATAAATTTGCAGCAATTGTTGGTGGCGTCGCTCACGCGCCTCGGCCTCTTCTAAATCTTCGTACGCCAATGTAGCAAGATGTTGCGCTGAATTACAGTTGCGCTCCTGACGACCTGAAACGCTGCTGCGCGCATCGTCCGCTGCATCGCCGGCAGACGACGCGCCTGAATCGCTAGGTGTTTCGCTGAGGCGCGTCTCCGCCTTGCCGCCATAGCCGAATGCGGGTAAATGATGCAGGTGCTGGTGCTGCTGCGCGCTATATTGCAGTTGTTGTTGCGCAACCTGTTGTTGCTGCTGTTGTAATTGATGCTGCTGATGCGCGTGATGTCGCCCGCTATCCGCAACACCATTAAGAAATTTCGCCGCTGAGCTGAGTATATTATTTTGGGCTGGCGGCGGTTGTGGTGAGCCTCTGCTATTCGCAGCGACGGCAGCTGCGGCCGCAGCGCTTAGTGCCAAAGCTGTTGGTGACATGCTGGCTGATTTTATGCAGGGATTCGTTTTATCTTGATAGGTTTGACGCGCTTGCAGCTGATGTAAACGCGCCAACTGCTCGAAGCTAGCTCTATTGGCATTAGCTTCATTTATGCTGCCACCTCCACCCGGACCACCGCCGCCGCCGCCTGGCCCATTACCTGGCACACTTTGTTGCTCTTGCAGCAGACAGTGTATTTTAAACCAATTCGAACGTCGTCCGTAGCGTGAGCCGCTCTTCGACATGCCTACCAATAGGCACTTGCGCAGGCGACACGCTTTGCACGCCGTGCGATTCTTCTTGTTGATGACGCAATCGCCATTGTTTTTGCAGCCAGCAATGGCAGATATATTGTTGTAGGTGCGGCCGAAGAACGACTGAAACAAGGGGGGAACAATTATTTATATTAATATTAATTATAGAGTACTATAATATACTACAATAAATAATATATATTATGATTCGTTAGTTGAAATCTCAGAAAATATCGTACTCTAGAAAGAAGATCCTTAACGCGTTCGCTTCGGAGTAACCAGTTTCTTCAGAGAGCTTACTTTATTAGAAAATCAATTCGGAAGAATATCCTTACTAAAAAGAAAATTTGTGTGACAGCTTGATGACTGTATGTATGTGGAACCTGTTTACGATGAAAGGAGCCTGCAGAAGATTTGAATCGGAAATGATCCTTTAATATGTTCTCTTCTGGTAGAAAGCTCTTTCAAGAAGGAGCACTGCTTTTAAGGTAAAGGGGATGGTTGAGGTAGCCCTTCGAATCTGAGAGGTGGTTAAGTACAAAATTAAAGGAATCGCTAAAGGTAGCAGATTTGAGTAAAAACTCTCTTAAACGATTTTGGTGAGAGAAATTTCTAAGATAAGGGAAGGCCAGTCAAAACTTATGAATTAGTTTAAGAATATGTAGTACGTAAATGACTTGATCTAAAGAGAATAAGTCCTTTATTCTGATTAATAAGCAAATAAATAAGGTTTGAAACTTGGTTTTCCGTATCACTCTCTCTCTCTGCTTCTATTTTCACCTTTCAGAGCTTCTTTGGTTAACCACTAAGTGATCTCATCAAAAATCAGCTAGGTTAGCTAGCCGAGCTCGTATCAAATTCCATTTCGCTTAACTTAACTTCAACTATTTTACAATTTATGCTTCAGTGCCAGTACATTTGCAAGTAATGCCAAACAAAAGACCTAAGCAACAAACTTGACACAAATCTCATTCCTACGAAACGCACAGAAAAAGTCAGTAGCAAATAATGTGCATATCTTTCAAAGCTTTTACATTAATGGCGAATTAATTAACACCTTTCAGCGTCGAGTTGACAAGAAAATTACACACCTGCAGATGCTGGTGTGTATGTGTGTGTATGAATATGAGTATGTGGACAAACCTTCTTTGCTCTTTCTAAGCAACTATTAATTTTCACTCAAATGGAGTAAAATAGCCGGCTTGTGCTGCGAAAATGGGGCACACTGAAATACATACGTACAGTTATTTCTTTATTTAAAGCACAGTGTTGAGTTTCAAAGCCACGCCAAGGCTGCTGCAGAGCAAATTTCTACAAACATTTATTTGTATATAAAATATGAGCGTAATAATGGTAGCAAGTGTACAAGCCACAATTACTGTTATGTGCATTATACTTTTCATTTTGTTGTTATGCAAGCTAATGTTGCACATTAGTAGTAAGTGTAGTATTTGTGAAATGGTAGGGGATATTCCTTTCTGGTTCATTTGGTCAGCCGAGCTGATGGACTTTTAAGTGTGGCTTTTGTTTGCCGCTGAACTAATTACACACATTTGTAAATGCACAGTTGAGCAGATATGCTTACATACATCTGTGTATCAGTATGTATATTATTTTTATTGCGCTTAATGCTGAGCCAATTATGTGTGAAGTAACGGTAATTATAATTAAATGGAAAAAATTGTGGAAAAAGAAAAAAAATAATAATTGCGCAACAAAGAAAAAAATTATTATTATATACAAAATAGAATACAATATAAAATAAAATAATCGATTTAAAAAAAATTAAAATAAAAAATTATATATAACAAAATAAATAAAACAAGAATAAAAAAATAACAAAAACTAAAAAATGAAAAAGTGGGTAAAATAAAAAATTTAGTTAAAAAAAATAAAATAAAATAGAGTGAAAAGAATATAAAGTAATTGAAATAAAATTAAATACCTCAGAAAATATTTAATCATATATAATAACGAGTAAAGAAATTAATTATTTTAATTTAAAAAAAAAATAAATCAAATAATATTAAATTTAATAAAGTAAAAAAAAAAAAAATTCCATAAAATTAAATAAAATCAAATAAAAATCTATAAAAATAAAAATTTTAAAAATTAGTTTAATTTATTGTTGATGCGCACACATTTATTTCTTTACTTGAATTTATTTTTAAATTAAGAAATTTTTTTGTTATTAATTTTAATTTTTTTTTATTTAAACTTTATTTTAATTTATAATTTAAAATTTTTTCTTATGCTTAAGTTTCTTGCTAATGACGTGTTTTTTTGCTATAAAATAGCTTAAATGAAAAATTATCTATTTCCAGCTAACACACATACTTATTCTTACCAAATTTGGCACAGCTGCTAAGATTAATGCAGCTATAAAAGATCATTTTATTTTCGGCCAAAATTAATAATATCGAAAATCGTAATCTTCGAAATTAATTTAGAATGCAAATGTCACTATTATGACATTTTAATAACGGCAGCTCCGGTAAGCTGGAAAATATACTAAATTAAGCTACTGTGCTAGAAGCCAGCAGTCAGTGCCAAGATTAGTGCAATAGCAACAACAAGCAGTGACAAACGCGATGCGCAGCTTCAAAGTGGTGAAGAGTGCAGCAAAGCCGATGGCAAAGGCACGAAGTACATTAAAAAGAACAGAAACAAAAGAATATCATAATGAAGAAGCTTCAAACTTAAAAATACAACAAAAACAAATTCAAAATCTACTAAGCATCACTAATCAGGCAAACAAAGGTGTGTTGCCGCAACACAGCTTGATGAGCAATTGAGCAGCTAAGCAGCTGGTGTTTGGTGAAAAAGTCAAGGTCGCTGCAGAAACAAATAAGCCACAGCAAGCAGGCAGCAAAGCAGCGCGCTTTAATGACACAAAACGACAGTCGGCAACAACAACGGTGGATGTTGCTCGTGTAGATCGAATAGCGGCGAGCAAAACAACTTCTGCTGCTTTGTATTGTTTTTGTTGTTGGTGTGTTTTTTGTTGTTGCTGCGTTTTGTTCTTTTTGGTTGTTATTATTTTGTTGTTGTTGCTGTTGGCTACATTGTTATGCAGATGCCAGTGGATCAAACAAAGGTGGTATTAAAAGCAACGTCAGCAGCATTAAGAGAACACACAACAACAACTAAGCCAAATAAAAAAGAGGTTGCTATTGTACCAGCGCTGTCTTGCTGCTGCTGCTTTGCTATTTTTTTGTTCGACGATACTATTATGGCACTAGAAATCATTAATTTTCATTAAACATGCAAACTTATTACACATGCACATTTATTCACGTATGCTTGCGTTAAATAATGAGGCGTTCGCAATGAAGCAGAAATAAATTGTCTTTTAGTCAGAGTTCAAAATGTTAGCAATGAATGCAAGAGGTGAGCGATGTGTATTATATCTGAGCTCAAAATTATTATTATCATTTTTTTTGTTGTTGTATGCACAATATTTAATATTTAATAGTAACTCAAATCAAATACAGATCGTTATAGATAAATACAGGTAATATTTCTTACGGTAAAATAATTTAGACTTCAGCGTGGAAATATGCTCATATCTCGATACTATTTGTTTAAACAACTTCAAACTTTCGGAGAATATTCCCAAATAAGTATATGTAAGTTGATAAAAAACGATTTTTGATATTTTCTAGTGAACATAATCTCTTAAAAAAAGTTTTATTTAAATCCTTATTAACATTTTAGAGTTAAACGCATTTACTATACACCTGCCAAGCAATGTAACGCAATGCAATTAAGCTTGTCACCACAAGTGGTCCAGAGCGCAACCGCATCCGCACCTGCACCCGCGCAATACTTTCGCCATTCGCATAGACTACTCCCACTTTATCAACACAGCTTTATAGTCAAACATATAACTAGTCAATTTATATGTGTAATTCAACTGTCTCACGCACTCATATACTCGTGAGTACATAAAATGTCCAGTCTACTTTTATTACCGCCCATTTCGTTATGTCTTGTAGCAATTTGTTAAATGTCACTAAGCTTTGTCGGCGGCGCATACCATAAAAATATATTTAATTTAATTAGTTGGCTTGCTGTGTTAACAGTGTACTTGCGCATGCGCTTTATCGTTGCGCGCTCTCTTTCTCACTCTCACATAGCTGTGCTGCTTTGCTCTAGAATGATTTTTAAGTTAAGTGCGCTTTTAATAGGGCGCCAATTCATAAAAATCCACTTTAATTCGCGCAGCAGCTGTACGCATGTTGCAACAACCGACGCCAACTGCTGTGCCATTTTTATGCTCACTCAATCAGGCGGCAAAGCAGTGCAGCGCAGCAACAAAAAGTCAATTGCTTGTTAATCTAGAAGATCATTGACAGCACATTAACTTTCCACCGAAACACTAAAGTTCGCATCTACAACACGTGAACGGCAATGTGTCGCGCTGTTTTACGAGCGGCGAAGCGGAAAACACTTGTTTATAGGCTTCGAAAAATAAAATTACATGAAATCTGCGCATAAATAAGCGCCTTAAATGTAAAATAAGACAATAAAGTAAATTATTATTTGATTTTTATTTATTTATTGCTTGTAATTACCGAACGCTGCGTGCTAACTAATATTTATTGCTGTGTTTTATTGCTGCAAACTTGTTACAGTTATTCACTTTTTTGATAATATACTTTTTCTTTTTATAACATAACAGTTTTTTCTAATGCAAAAAAATCCATGTCTATACTAAGAGGCTCTCAATTAGTCACTTGAAATGGTTACCATAAAGAAAGCCTGCATGTTCAAAGCATTTCACTCGATTTGAGTAACATTATAAAGTTTGCTTAGCTTGTTGCTGTATAATTTTTCTTCAATCGTTTTTTTAGTTTCCAAATTTAAATGCTACTGATTATAATCTCCTGTATTCTTTATCAATAACTTGATCTTTTCGTATTTGATATTCTTAATTTTAGCAGAGGCAAAGTCAGGCTATGGTAGTCCCATCAATACAAGTTAGTTGTTTCAAAAACTTTTTAAATTATTTTATATGTCATTCTTATTATTGTTACTGTGTGAATAACCTTTTATTTTAGACTCTATGTGATGAAGTGTTTATGACAGGGAAATTCTACTAAAACCCCTGCATGCATTGCACTTGTTATTAATTGGTCGCTATTGTTTTTGGGTTTGCAGTATATATTCTCAACGTCTATTTTCAAAGTTCGGGCGCATTACTATTCTATATCATAAATTAGCATTTATGCATTTTAGTATTAGTATTGATGTTGATTCCCGCAATCATACTCACGGTTCAATAGCAAGTGGAAAAAGTGCGATCTTAACCTCAACATTTTAGGTGATCACAGTTGCTCCAGGATACACGGCGTATCATGTGACATTTTGCAGTATATTTTGCAGATATAACCAAAACGTTAGCTGGCAGCACTTAGACACTTAGTAAAGACAGAAAGTAAGTGAGTTATTTTCGATTAAATTACCACTACAAACAGGTGTTTCAAACTTTCAGGAATAATAAGAATAAGTTACTAGCCAGGCCATGTCACATAGGGGACGCAATTTTTCAAAACCTGGCAATAAGCTGACATTGTCCTATGAATGGCATTTCTCGTAGAACACTGATAGTATTTATTGCGATTTCAACTTAGCTTGATCCCTTCATTGATTGAATCTAAATATGCAAGAACCTAGTTCTCTCTAATTCCTTTGCCCGCTGCGCGATTAGTTTGCTTTTTTTCCATGTTCGTGTCTCTACTAGCTACCTCTAACTTAAGTACTATTGCATTTGACTATCAATTATGAAAAATCAGTGTTCTAATAAAATAAAGCCAACAAAATAAACACCTTCCTGCTTTTACTAAGCTAGATACATTTTGTTATGTACCCTGCTTTAATCAAATTCCAGCAAAATCGCCTTCACAGTGGGTCATAGCTATCAATTGCATAAGTAAATTACGCGCTCGGCAAGCCGGCGCTTGCATCCGCATCATTAAAGTGTTATTAGTGCAGCGACACATACACACACACTTACATTTGTAATGCGACCTGTGCGTATTAAAGTAAAGACTTAAGACACAAACTTGTTGGCGTTCGGCCAAACATTATGAATATTCGTATTGCTCTATATGATTTCCTGTTTAATTTAGTGGCTTGAGATATTTGTTTATTAAATTCCTGCTATGTGCTACCCACAAGCATACATACATTAATGGCATTAATGTCCATCAATTTGGTTACACTTAATCAACTTTGGCGCACTAATTTCCAATTTGTTGTTGTTAGTGAACGCCATCAGCAACACTATGCGCTATAATTTTCATTATAGAATTTGTTGTTTTTGCTTTTTTCGTGTTATTGTTGTTTAAGCAACGTTTTTGTTTCACCTTGCAGCACAACGTTCACGTATCATCATTAATTTCATACGGTGCAATGCATCAATTACGATTAAAATTGTTTAACATATATATACATATATATATATATATATATCTATGTGTGGAGAAATATGCGGAACCAAATGTGTGGTGTGTAGCCACATGATCATTAGCCAGCTGAGCTGATACTGTTTTAATTTGTTATTAAAATCAGATTTTTATGGCATTGAGGATTTTCATTACATAGCAATTAGTAAGCAAGCGTGTTGCACAAGTGGAATATATATATATGTATTAACAGATTTGTCATAATCTCCCGCCTGTGCTTATAGATAAATGGGGAGGCTTCGCTTTTCTTTGTTCAATTTTTAAATTAGAAAGCGCGAAGCAGTTGCATAAAACCAGCGGAATTTTTGGAATTCGTTTATTTAAGCAGTTTGAAAGACGTTTACAATCTAGTAAAATATAATAATAGAATTAATTCGTATTGATATTAAACCGGAATTTATTCGAAAAGTTTTACAGACAATTAAAAATAATATTGCCACCTAGAAAAATTTTTATAAATAAAAAGAAGTTGAACAATGAAATACAAATTATGAAGAAACACTCCAAGTTTGAAACTGAGTTTGAATAATGTTGCCATTTTGAAATATTTTCCAAAATGTTAACCGAATGTCACGCCAAAAAATATTCGCGAATGTTTTGGACTTATTTTGGGCTTATATAAGCATGGGATTACCACCAAAATTAAATATGTAAACCGAAAAAGTTTTAAAATATTCTTAGAGAGGAAAAGACTTATGCAAAATTTCAGAGCGATAGCTCAAAAACTGTAGGACTGGTTTGCGTATTTTATATATCAGAAGTACTCCAAGTTGGTTTAGACAAGAGACTATTTCTTTCTTTGGTCGAATATTAGATTTTAAATGCTAATTCTTAACTGTGACTTTACCTACCCTGCCGATAGTCGCTTATACACGCTATTCAAAAAACTGACCATAGAATACAATATGTTGAAGATTTATTGCATGGACTTTCTTATCAAGTTACAAGGCTTGCACTTTCACTTCATAAGTTTAGATAACCTAGATTGAAATTGTCTTTCTAAATATTTTATATATTACAAAAATCTCGGAAATGAATCAAATTGTATAATACAAATTGGGTATAAGATACCGCTAAATTTCAAGCAAATGACATTTATGTAAGTTGGTTCGAAACTTTGCTAGCTGACATTTGCAAGCTTTTATAGCCTATTACTACATCCCAGTACCACGGATGGCAGCATAGCAACAAAACTGTAAAACAACAACATTAACGAATACGAAAAGTAAAACATTTATGCTTTTATGAGCGAACGCATTAAGCCGAACACGAAATGGGCGAAATGGAACATAAAAGAAAGCAATAACGCCACAAACGCTGCTAATAAAAGCATAAAATTGCAAAACCAAATGAACAATTTGAAGCGTTTACCAGGCATAATTTAGAGCAATGAGTGGTAAAGTAGTCAGCGAGCGAAGCAAATTGTGGGAAAATATTTATTTTCCATTTAAAAATTGAAAAAATAGCAGATAAATAAATGCGGAGGCCAATAGCTGGACAACAAATAGCTAAAAACAGCAACAAAAGTAAATCTTTGAATTGAATTACGCACACACAGGCACATACATACACAACAAGGCAGCGTGGCGGCAATGAATGAATCGTAATGAATGCAGAGCATGCAAACCGGCTGTCAATCATTTTGTTGTTGTTGTGCACAAATATTGCAAACACGTGTACTTATGTGCGTGTGCATGTAAAATGGCAATGAGTCGAGTTCGCTATGCAATTGAACTGTGCAACTGGAGTAATCGTCGCCGTTGTGGCCGCTTAAATCGTTTCAACTCGATCGCTTGACTCTTTAGCGCTGTGGCAAGCAAATCGTTTATTGATTTAATTTTCATTCGGTTTGTATTATTGATTCAGTTGATGGTGGTTGTGCGTGCAAAATGCAGTCAATCAAATCGACATTATCTGCGTATTAGATGATTTCGCATAAAAGAGAGCGTAAACTCGAAGAAGGAGAAGGTAGGTAGTATAGAGTCTGTTTGCGGTTACTTTATATATCACTGAGAAGAAAAATAGCATTTGTTTTGAGTAAAATGCAATGCAAAATAAATATTATGCAAAATTTCGTTTATAAAAATTAAATTTAAATTTTTAAAAAGGTGGCAAAATGCATTAAATAATATTCTCAATCTAAAGTATAAATTTAAGAAAAATATTTTCATAAGGTTACTTGAGTATGATGCCCAAATGTAATATTTAAATGTTTCAATAATTTATTTTAATGAAAATATGTATAGAGGAGGCAACTTTTCTGTAAAATATTTTCAACTACTTTACCATAAGCGTTCTAAAATTTACTTTACTTCGATAATTACATAACTTTGTAGTATGTATAATTCGTTTAACTTACTAAATGTAAAATTTTTACATTTTCAAATTAGTGGCAACACCTTAGAAATATATATATTTTTAAGAGATATCTTCGTCAACATGGTGGAAGAGCAATTTGATATTTCAATTTTCTAAAAATTTATTTTAATAAAAACATCTAAACAGGTGGCAACTCTTCTCTGAAATATTTTCAAAATTTTCAAATTGATTTTACTTTGATAGCTTTACTGCATAATTCCTTTAACTTAGAGGATAAATTCAATGTCTAAATAGGTGGCAACACACCTTAAACAATATTATCTATTCTAAGTTTGTTTTAAACGTTTTTGATCCTGTTTTACTATTTATTTAATATTATTATTTCATTCGTTTTTTTTGCTATTAAATTCATTTTCAAAGTCAAATTTATGCTACAGCCGTGACGCGTGCTACAAAGGTTTCATAAAATGAAAAAAATAGGCTTGCGCTCAAAAGTATGCAATGGAGAGATGTTCTGGAATTTTTCACACATTTATTTTCTCTTTTTGAATAAAAACTTATTTTCAATAAGAAATTTGAAGCTTTCTTTCAACATTCTAAAAATCCATGCAAAAATTAAATGAAATATAGATGTTATTTATTATGTTTATTTTGAAGTACTTTTAAGAATGTTTTGTATACTTTTGATTAATCAATAGATGGCGTTACATATTCCTAGAGCTTAATCTGAAATAAAATGGTCAAATTCCGATAAAAGCTCGCATATTAATTTTTACCTTGCAACCTTCACATGTGAATGCGCCAAAATGAAATCCAGCCGCCGGCTCCCCGCACACTTTGCACAGCTGGTTCATCTGCAAATTAAACAAGATAATTCAGTATTAATATTTTTATGATAAACCGCAGATTAAGTGCAAGAGTTGTAAACTAAATAAAAATTATAAAATTTTTTGTAACGAAATTCGGCGAATTTGAAAAACAGTTTTTTATGGAGTCTTATGGAAACACCTGAAGCATGTAGCTTGCTTACTTTAATAAATAAGAACACAAATCTAATAGTCCAACCATAAAACGCTTCATAAACACAACAAATAATTGCCAATATCCTGGCTGCCGCAAACAAAAGCTTAAGTAATATTTATTTGCAATATATTTCAATTTATTTTCGCATAAAAATGAAATATTGCGCAGGTCAGCGGCAATAGTTTGTGGTTACCAGACTTGCCACCCAAAGCAAAAAGAGCAAATTATGCACCTTGATGCGTAAATATTACATATGAGCATTTAAAGTTGTTGACAGCAAAAGCTTTTGTATGCCTAGCAGCGGTACACAAACTACCGTTCTGCGTGAACATAAACACCCTATATGCTTGGGTAAGACGAAGAGAGTTGCATATTTGTCAAAGACACACTCATACACGCGCAAATTCTATAACCGCAAAATGTGTGTGCGTTGCACTTGTTCGAATAGATTAGATTTTGTGTGCGCCCATAGCAGTTTCATTCTACCGACAGCCACGTTGCTATTGTTGTTGCTGCTCATGGGCACTGTGTAAAGTGTGAGAAAATACCGGCACAACGCTTGTCGGTGCTGTGAGCGGATTCATTAGAGAAAGTGCATGCAAAATATTGACGTTGGGTTTGTGTCTTAAGTCTTCTGTTTATATGCGGCAGCTTAGTGCTTGAGCTACTGCAGCCAAGTTGTTGGAAAAAAAGTAATGCGAAGAGTTAAAGTACTGGTTGTAATTGTAAACACATTTGAGGTTTAGTGCTGATTGTTAGCTGGTTTAAATGAATTTTTAGTTATACGTTGATATTTTTAGTAAGGTCTTAAGGTAATTTACTATTACATACTAATAATTTATTTACTTGCAGACAATTGCTTTTAATTACTCACTTTATCATTATAAATTATTAGTTTAATTATTTATTTACAAATACTTTTAAATAATCAGTTGTAATCACTGATTACAAAGTATTACAAATAACCAGTAGTTTAATACAAATTACTTAGTTACCAATATACATTTTTAATCTAAATAACTGTAGACAGATTTTTCTAATTACTCAGGGATAGTTAATCATTTATAGAAAATCAAGTTTAATTACTTAGTTGCAATAAATGATTAAGTAGAAACAAAAATGACCAACAGTTTAATACAAATAACTTTGTTACCATTACAGAATACTAATTTAAGTAATTGTAAAGAAGTTTTCCCAATTACTCACGAGTAATTATGTCACCAAAATTTATTACCAGTAAAATTATTATTTACTTCTTTACCATTACAGGTTGGTAGTATAACTATTTATAGATAATTACTTTGTGATTACTAATTACGAAGCAGCAACCTAATTAGCTCATACTAATCCGTAGTAATATCTTGCAAAGCATTGACTATAAGTAATGATTACTCGTAAGCAATTAATACAAAAAACATTATAAAATAGTAATTTAGTCGTTTAGAAAAAATTTAATTTTAATTACTTACTTATAATTAATGATTACGAAGCAATAAACTAATTAGCAGAACCTACTTACTAATTACTTAGTAATGTCTTACAAAGTACTTGTTTTAAGTAATGATTACTTATAAGTAATTACTATGAAAAACTTATTACTATATCTTCCATGAACTTTTTACAAGATTTCTTGATGAACTTTAAAGCATTGTAAATTATTGATTATAAGTAATGATTACTTTTAAGTAATTGCTAAGAAAAATCTATTGTTATATCTTATATAATCCAACACAGTGCATTGTGTGAGCTATGTCTAAATATTTTTAAATTATTTCCGACTCTTTCTCAAACTCTTCAAATGTACGAGCTCAGAAACCTTTTCCCCTACATTTTTGAACGGCATCCCCACTTTCTTAATAAGGTTTTGCGTACACCGTAGCTTCCAAGCTTCCATAGCGGCGTCATGTACATGCCGCATACCTTTAAAGTGTAATTTTTCTGCCGAATTTTCCTTTTCTATTTTGCAATTGCATTTCTTTCCTCCTATCCAGTAAATTTCCGCTTTTCGCCTCGTTTTTTAGACTTCGCTATTTTTTTTGTTGTCTTTGTGGACACCAATTTTTCTTGTTCACCTACTAAATAAATGCGGCAAATGGCATAATTTCCTTGCGGCATTCAGTAGGTCAAACATGTTCACAGGCCGGCCAGGCCGTGCTAGACTTAGGCGGCTGCGGCGCTGCTGGTGAGATATGCCCCAGGCGAGCGCAAAAGAAGCAGCAAGCAAGCAACAAAAGCAGCAATGAAAAATAAAAAATAAAAATAAAACAACAAAGCAACACAATCATAATAAAAAATACGATAAAAATGCATGCCACATGCAGCATAGAGCAGATTAGCAATAACAACAAGAGCGTAGCTTGTTGCGGCGTTTAAGTTAAACTTCACATTGAAAAATGTTGCTGCTGCGCGCCATCGATTGCCGGCGCGACGAGCGTTGCTTCTTCATTGCCGCTGTTTACAAGCGCTTTTTTGTACAGCAGACTTTTTGGCATTGTAATTTCGGTACGCCTTGTTGTTGTAGTTGCTGTTGTTGTTGTGTGCACGCCTGTGAAAATTTTTTGTGTTGCCAGTGCTGCCGCTGCCACTGCCGCAGCCGTCGCTCTTCTGGCTGTTGGCATTGCCTTTGACTTTGGTTTTGTTTTTTGCTTGTTGCTGCTTGGTTACCTTCCCGGTCTGGTTCAATATTGAACTCTTGCAATATTGTTGTTATTGTTGCTGCTGCTTTCCCACTTCTTTGTCTTCTATGCCTTTCTGGGGAACGAACATCACGCTGCTGCCTTGAGTGTTGAGTAGGTGGCAGGTCGTTTTGGTCAAAAAAAGTATAAGAAGAGTTGCAATAAAGGTACACGAAACAGAAGGTACCGCAAGTGGTGGTGGAGGAGGGTTGTGGTGTAATGTGCTTTGGGAGTCTTGCTGATATTTGCGTGGGTGCGGAGCGTGCAGCAGGCGCGATGGGAGATCGTTTTAGCCAAATCGACAGCAGCAACGGCGCATGCAACAACGTGGCAACTATCGGTGTAATGAGCCGCTAGGGTTAAAACAAATAATTTTGGTGATAGTAACAAAAATATAAAATAAATTTTAAATAGATAAGTACAAGTTAATAAATAACATAAAAATAAACTAAAAATACAAATGAAACAAACAATCAGAATTAAAAAAGTAGAAATAAAAAAAATAAAAAAATCTTTAACAATATTGTGAAAAGGGGAGCTAAATTATTTGAAATAAAAAATTTTTGGAAATAAACAAAAATACACATAAATTTAAAGAAAAGTCAAAACAAATATTAAAATTTATAATTTTTTATATAATTACTTTGTATTTTTGTATGTGAGAAGCTTCTGCACATGATCCTTGAACTTTATTTTGAAATTTGCTGTTTCTGCAGCAAAATGCTGCACCCAATTTTACACACTCACACACAAACACATTAGAAATCGTTTTTGCGCAAGAGGAAAAGTGTGCAAAAAGTGGTTTGAGTCAAAGTGAAAAAATATTGCCAAACAAACAACGCCTGCTGCTCATAAAGTTTGGGTCAAAATAATAAGTTGGCAGCGTGCGCGTAAAAGCTTGAGAATATCTCGAAAGCGGCGCAATAAAGTGGTAAAAGACAGCGCATCTTCTCAGAGCGGCCAACATAAGCACTAACACCAACACCACCAGCGACAACGACTGGCAGTCAGTGGGTCGCCTATAAAGCAAGTGAAAAGAATTTCGCAACATTTCGCTGCCACATTGTATGCCTGTGGCATGCAGCAGCAACAGAAATAACAATACCGCTGCTGCTGCTGCACGCTCTTCAATGTGCTTTTGCATTTTTAATGAAATGATAATTTTTTCTATGGCACTCGATTCGTTTGTTTGCAACATCCTTCTTGTTATTGTTGTTGTTTTTCATTTTTATACCATTTGTTGTTGGCGATTTTTGCTTTTATCACTTTTATACAATTCTCATTTTTTATGCCACAATGCGGCCGGTAAGGTGCATCACACAGTCGTCGCCGTCGTCACAGTCATCTTCAGCATATCGCCGGCATATATGGTAATTTCGCTATGAATTGCTGTTGAATTGCTGCATATTTTCATGCATTGTTAACTCAATGGCTTAGCGCTTACAAGTGTGTGCCTGTGTTGCACAGTGCTTATATATAGACATGTGTGCACTTATAAATGCTGTAATGGTTTCTGTGCGCGCTCCCACTTTTTATGCACGCTTTTGTTGTTATTGTTATGGTTTTTTTTCTATTTTACGCTGTTTTGACTTATGAACTGTTTGCCAATGCCACGGTCGTGGTCATGCCTTCCACGTTGATTGCCTCTAACCGTTTTCAAATTTTTTTCGTTGCCTGTTGTTCACTTGTTGTCAGCACTTTTGCAGAAAGTTTTTGTTGTTCTGATTTACTCTATCATCTGTGATTATATTTTATTTGTGATTAATCAGTATTTTTCAATAACAATTTTCAAGTTTCGTTTCTTCTTTCATTTAGTATCGTTGTGTTGTTGTTTTATTTTCTCTCATTATGTCTCGTTATACCCTGAACTGGATATCCAAAGTTTGCCATGATGTATGTATATACCCAAAATGTAGCGTCGGAGACCCTATAAAATATAAATGATCAGCATGATGATCTGAGTCAATTTAGCCCTGTGCCGTCTGTCTGTCTGTATATACGCGAGCTAGTCCTCTCCTCTCCTCTCCTCTTTTCTCTTCTTCGCTTCTCTTCACTTCTCTTCTCTTCACTTCTCTTCTCTTCAGCTTTATCTTTATCCCTAGTTTATAAAAATGCTCTGGCTTCTCTAGATCGGGATGCTAAAACCCCCTAAATAG